CGCGCGCGCGCGCGTGTGTGTGTGTGTGTGTGTGTGTGTGTGTGTGTGTGTGTGTGTGTGTGTGTGTGTACGTGTATTTATAATAGTAAAGAAGAATTTTTCTTGCTGTGTTTTAACAATGGCGTTAGCAGATGAGTAAGTATCTAAAGCACTTAAGTACTTTCATCCTATACTTCAACATATACGTCCACCCTTTTCCTCCTTTGTCTCCTCCTCCTTCACTTCCTACAGCACGCGCATACGTAATATAAATTTATTTCCATCCAAGAATCACGATTTGTTAATAAATTAACAAATATACATGAACATCGACATCATAAATTTAACCAATTTAGCAATTCTCCTGAGAGCTTCTTGTATTCGTAACGTCAAACAAATCCGGTTGATCGGTCAGTTTTGGGTACACAAAAGCGGCTTCTAGACAACATGGCGTCCGAGGACATCACTACATTACGTACCACTCAAGATAGATGTTACGCCATAATTGCATCCTCCTTTGGAGGAAATACGGCGCATTATTCGGCGGTATTATGAACACAAATCTGCGTCGACCCTACGGAATGTTAAGCGAAAGTCACATCTCAACTCGAGGGATCTTCGTTTTCGGGAACGATTTGCCCCGCGGTTCCTCTGAATGGGAATGTTTTCCGACAGGTAGCTTTTAAGGAATTTATACAGCGGCACATTAAATGACGCGGATCTTGATAAATCCAAATGGAATTCTCGTGTCCGACTCACTTGGCGTGTGACTTTCGGCGCGATTTGGCGATGTCATGCGATGCCAAAAATCGATTTATTTCGCACTAATCGTCGTTCTGCGTCGGACATTTGCGTTTTGTGGCATATTTCCATATTAAAATTTAGTGCAAGTAGTATAATTAAGCGAACATAGACGAGTACGAAGAGAAATACAACGGCACAAAGCACTACTTATTCCATATTGCATCAATATTTCATTGTTAAGCTGGATTTGTTTAAGAAATTGATATAAACATTATTTTGTTTAGTGACAGTTGAATATTTATTCGATGATTCATATTTAACAAAATATTCATTCATTATAATTTTACTCATTACATAATTAACTTAACTTAAATTTCCAACATAATTAAGTTAAACCTAAATTTTCAAAAAAATTAATAATGCGTTAAATATCTATATCACAAAATTTTTAAATATTACAAATCTACTCATACAAAGTGCAGTTGAAATTAAATATATAAAAGTCTTAATAATTGTTTACATTTCTGGATATTATTTCCCCACAAAGTTTTTTATTTATTGTAATAAATTATAATTATAATTTATAAATTAAATTTGCCACCATACCAATTATTACTTTGTATTATTATTAATAATTATTAATTTTCTTCCTTTAAAAAATGTCTAGATAAATAAATAATATTTTTAAATTAATATTTTTATTTTAATTAAAAATTCTATTATTTAGATATCTTCTTTTTTTTTAATATTATTAAAGTTCTTTGAAATGATGCTGTTACCTTTCATATCTTTCATATTTTATGACTTAAATATACAACGAAATTATACTAGAGAGAGAGAGAGAGAGAGAGAGAGAGAAAGAGAGAACAAATTATGTAGAAATA